ATCAGCGTTCTGATGGCATTTTAGCCAAAGGATTTTGATCAAAAACATAATTAATGTGAACAAATAAGGAACAGTTTTATTAACCATTCATGGAAAGGGTTTTATGGGGCCCCCAGAAACTTGGGGCCCCAGGCAATTGCCTAGTATTGCCTAATGGTAAATCCCCCCCTGAGTGGCACCACTATACCCTCTGACTACCAACAGTGGGCAAAGCAGGTAAAGTGCCTTACACTTATGCAGCTATGAAAAAGACAGAGCAGGGGCTTAAACTAGCAGCCCACTGGTTACAGAACAAGCCCCCACCTTCTGAGCTGCCACCCCCCCAGCCAAAGAAACTGGGAAGCTGAAGTAAAACCCAGTTGGGCAGCTCTAGAAACCTTTCTGTGAACCATACGTGTGTTTGTGTTTACCTTGGACAGGTAGAAAAATGGTCCACTGTGGTTCTCCAGCAGTGTCCTTCCACAGTGATACATGAGGAGTCCAAAGTCAAAGAGAGGACCAGGAGCCTCCTTTCCCTCCACCTGAGGGTTTTAGCAAACATTAGCATGTTAAACACGTTGAAGACCTTCAAACACCTTAGCCTCAGTGACCCCCTATGACTGATCATCAACACTTTTAGTGCACTAATGATCACTAAAGTGGCCTTAAAAAGGTAAAAGCAGAGAGTCCATGTTACCATCATGTGGTGCTCCACCATGTTCCAGGCCCGGGGACGCAGCATCAGCACCGGAGCCTGGGAAATGTGAGGGACATCTGATCCCCCAACAGAAATCATAAGAACATCAAGACTCACAATACTCCCCTAAATATTCTTAAGCAGTGCAGAGTCACAGCTGAGAAATAGCCCAAGTAGAAGTCCGACACTCACCAGGGAGCCGGTTGCTCACTGCCAGAAGGACGTTGTGAAGACCTTTGATCTGGTTGTGGAAAGTTGGACAGTTCCCATCATCAAAGTCAACCTGAGAGGAAGGAAAGAAGAGCTGAAAGTTGAAGCTTTAAACAATGGAAGGACTGGAGGTCCGAATAAAAACTCAGAACCAATTAGTAAATCAGGAGATATCCCTGCAGGTGGGGGGATGCAGAGAACACAACAAGAACCTGACAGGGAGCTAAATGCAGAGGTTAAATCCAATGTGAGATCAATAAAGTTCAATTATTATTATTAGTCTAATAATAGAAGCTGAAAACCCGGTTTTTAATTATCTGAATATTACAGCTTTTAACTCTTCAACCAAATGTAGACAGTGATCAGATCGTCTTATTATCCATTGATCTGTTCGACTGTCGATCAGGTTGGACTCTGATCGACTGGCTGTTGTTTAGGTTGAAGAGTGATCTGGTTAAACTGTGATCTGGTGAATCAGTCATGCTTTTGAACACTAATCCCAGAAATATTTCTAGGTGACTTCAGTTAAATCCTCCTCAGAGATATCAGAGATAAAAGGGCGTAAACACGAAGCCACACCTGACTTTCCAGGTATGTTTCAGGATTAAAATGAAAACCATGCCTCATTTTGGCACCTTTCTTTTTTAACCTGGCAAACACTTATTTTACAGAACAGTGGAATTGTGGGTAATAATGTGACAGAAGGTGGAGACCTTCCAGGCACTGTTTTATTTTTTGATCCTTTCCTTTATCAAACCATATCCTCTCTAGTTGGGTAGTATTCTGTTTTCATGTCCAACATACAGAAATTACAGTTGTATTAACCACAGAGATGGGAAGTAACGAAGTACAAATACTTCGTTACTGTACTCAAGTAGATTTTTCTGATATTTTT